GCCTGTGATCGTGTGGTTAGAGCATGATTATTGAATAGTTAGGTCAACCATATACATTTTGCCAGATAACTTCGTAATTTACTGGACTGCCTCAATCATATTTATACTGAGTATTCTACACATTGTATATTACCATTAGAATAGCTCAAAGTTGATGTGATAGGCTTGGGAAAAAAGATTATGCACTTTTTATGTTCGGAGTTTTAATTGATCGCGTTATGTTAAGCCATAGCTACGTATAATGTACACTACGGTCTCAAATATGCCTTTTAAAATACGTCAATTAATTAGTTTTAACTTGTATACACGTTTTATCAATGTATAATTGACATTATATAAATATAAAAACATCATTTCGCACCGTATTGTCATTGATTTATGTTTCCGACATCCCTGCAAAACACGTTTGTGGCGTACGCAGGCGTACCAACCCACATCTATTACAAACCGAAACTTTTCCTGACGCAAATTCTATAAACCATATACATTTTGCCAAATAACTTCGTAATTCACTGGACTGCCGCAATCATATTTATACTGAGTATTCTACACATTGTATATTACCATTAGAATACCTCAAAGTTGATGTGATGGGCTTAGGAAAAAGATTGTGCACTTTTCCTGATGCGAGTTCCTATCAACCATATACATTTTGCCATATAACTTCGTAATTTACAGGACTGCCGCAATCATACTCATACTGATTATTCTACACATTGTATATTACCATTAGAATACCTCAAAGTTGATGTGATGGGCTCAGGAAAAAGATTGTGCACTTTTCCTGATGCGAGTTCCTATCAACTAAATACATTTTGCCATATAACTTCGTAATTTACTGGACTGCCGCGATCATACTCATACTGATTATTCTACACATTGTATATTACCATTAGAATACCTCAAAGTTGATGTGATGGGCTTAGGAAAAAGATTGTGCACTTTTCCTGATGCGAGTTCCTATCAACCATATACATTTTGCCATATAACTTCGTAATTTACTGGACTGCCGCAATCATACTCATACTGATTATTCTACACATTGTACATTACCATTAGAATACCTCAAAGTTGATGTGATGGGCTTAGGAAAAAGCTTGTGCACTTTTCCTGATGCGAGTTCCTATCAACTATATACATTTTGCCATATGACTTCTTAATTTACTGGACTGCCGCAATCATACTCATACTGATTATTCTACACATTGTATATTACCATTAGAATACCTCAAAAATGATGTGATGGGCTTAGGAAAAAGATTGTGCACTTTTCCTGATGCGAGTTCCTATCAACCATATACATTTTGCCATATAACTTCGTAATTTACTGGACTGCCGCAATCATACTCATACTGATTATTCTACACATTGTACATTACCATTAGAATACATCAAAGTTGATGTGATGGGCTTACGAAAAAGATTGTGCACTTTTCCTGATGCGAGTTCCTATCAACTATATACTTTTTGCCATATAACTTCGTAATTTACTGGACTGCCGCAATCATATTTACCCTGAGTATTCTACACATTGTATATTACCATTAGAATACCTCAAAGTTGATGTGATGGGCTTAGGAAAAAGATTGTGCACTTTTCCTGATGCGAGTTCCTATCAACCATATACTTTTTGCCATATAACTTCGTAATTTACTGGACTGCCGCAATCATACTCATACTGATTATTCTACACATTGTATGTTACCATTAGAATACCTCAAAGTTGATGTGATGGGCTCAGGAAAAAGATTGTGCACTTTTCCTGATGCGAGTTCCTATCAACCATATACATTTTGCCATATAACTTCGTAATTTACTGGACTGCCACGATCATACTCATACTGATTATTCTACACATTGTATATTACCATTAGAATACCTCAAAGTTGATGTGATGGGCTTAGGAAAAAGATTGTGCACTTTTCCTGATGCGAGTTCCTATCAACCATATACATTTTGCCATATAACTTCGTAATTTACTGGACTGCCGCAATCATACTCATACTGATTATTCTACACATTGTACATTACCATTAGAATACCTCAAAGTTGATGTGATGGGCTTAGGAAAAAGCTTGTGCACTTTTCCTGATGCGAGTTCCTATCAACTATATACATTTTGCCATATGACTTCTTAATTTACAGGACTGCCGCAATCATACTCATACTGATTATTCTACACATTGTATATTACCATTAGAATACCTCAAAGTTGATGTGATGGGCTCAGGAAAAAGATTGTGCACTTTTCCTGATGCGAGTTCCTATCAACCATATACATTTTGCCATATAACTTCGTAATTTACTGGACTGCCGCAATCATACTCATACTGATTATTCTACACATTGTACATTACCATTAGAATACATCAAAGTTGATGTGATGGGCTTACGAAAAAGATTGTGCACTTTTCCTGATGCGAGTTCCTATCAACTATATACTTTTTGCCATATAACTTCGTAATTTACTGGACTGCCGCAATCATATTTACCCTGAGTATTCTACACATTGTATATTACCATTAGAATACCTCAAAGTTGATGTGATGGGCTTAGGAAAAAGATTGTGCACTTTTCCTGATGCGAGTTCCTATCAACCATATACTTTTTGCCATATAACTTCGTAATTTACTGGACTGCCGCAATCATACTCATACTGATTATTCTACACATTGTATGTTACCATTAGAATACCTCAAAGTTGATGTGATGGGCTCAGGAAAAAGATTGTGCACTTTTCCTGATGCGAGTTCCTATCAACCATATACATTTTGCCATATAACTTCGTAATTTACTGGACTGCCGCGATCATACTCATACTGATTATTCTACACATTGTATATTACCATTAGAATACCTCAAAGTTGATGTGATGGGCTTAGGAAAAAGATTGTGCACTTTTCCTGATGCGAGTTCCTATCAACCATATACATTTTGCCATATAACTTCGTAATTTACTGGACTGCCGCAATCATACTCATACTGATTATTCTACACATTGTACATTACCATTAGAATACCTCAAAGTTGATGTGATGGGCTTAGGAAAAAGCTTGTGCACTTTTCCTGATGCGAGTTCCTATCAACTATATACATTTTGCCATATGACTTCTTAATTTACTGGACTGCCGCAATCATACTCATACTGATTATTCTACACATTGTATATTACCATTAGAATACCTCAAAAATGATGTGATGGGCTTAGGAAAAAGATTGTGCACTTTTCCTGATGCGAGTTCCTATCAACCATATACATTTTGCCATATAACTTCGTAATTTACTGGACTGCCGCAATCATATTTACCCTGAGTATTCTACACATTGTATATTACCATTAGAATACCTCAAAATTGATGTGATGGGCTTAGGAAAAAGATTGTGCACTTTTCCTGATGCGAGTTCCTATCAACCATATACTTTTTGCCATATAACTTCGTAATTTACAGGACTGCCGCAATCATACTCATACTGATTATTCTACACATTGTATATTACCATTAGAATACCTCAAAGTTGATGTGATGGGCTTAGGAAAAAGATCGTGCACTTTTCCTGATGCGAGTTCCTATCAACCATATACACTTTGCCTTATAGCATCGTAAATCACTGGACTGCCTCAATCATATTTATACTGAGTATTCTACACATTGTATATTACCATTAGAATACCTCAAAGTTGATGTGATGGGCTCAGGAAAAAGATTGTGCACTTTTCCTGATGCGAGTTCCTATCAACCATATACATTTTGCCATATAACTTCTTAATTTACTGGACTGCCGCAATCATACTCATACTGATTATTCTACACATTGTATATTACCATTAGAATACCTCAAAGTTGATGTGATGGGCTCAGGAAAAAGATTGTGCACTTTTCCTGATGCGAGTTCCTATCAACCATATACATTTTGCCATATAACTTCGTAATTTACTGGACTGCCGCAATCATACTCATACTGATTATTCTACACATTGTATATTACCATTAGAATACATCAAAGTTTATGTGATGGGCTTACGAAAAAGATTGTGCACTTTTCCTGATGCGAGTTCCTATCAACTATATACTTTTTGCCATATAACTTCGTAATTTACTGGACTGCCGCAATCATATTTACCCTGAGTATTCTACACATTGTATATTACCATTAGAATACCTCAAAGTTGATGTGATGGGCTTAGGAAAAAGATTGTGCACTTTTCCTGATGCGAGTTCCTATCAACCATATACTTTTTGCCATATAACTTCGTAATTTACTGGACTGCCGCAATCATACTCATACTGATTATTCTACACATTGTATATTACCATTAGAATACCTCAAAGTTGATGTGATGGGCTTAGGAAAAAGATTGTGCACTTTTCCTGATGCGAGTTCCTATCAACCATATACACTTTGCCTTATAGCTTCGTAAATCACTGGACTGCCTCAATCATATTTATACTGAGTATTCTACACATTGTATATTACCATTAGAATACATCGAATTTGATGTGATGGGCTTAGGGTCAACATTGTGCACTTTTTCCTGATGCAAGTTCCTATCAACCATATACATTTTGCCATATAACTTCGTAATTTAGGGGACTGCCTCAATCATATTTATACTGAGTATTCTAGACATTGTATATTACCTTTATAATAGCTTAAAGGTGGTGTGATGGGCTTAGGAAAACGATTATGCACTTTTTTATGTTCGGAGTTTTAATTGATCGCGTTATGATAAGCCATAGCTACGTATAATGTACAGTACGGTCTCAAATATGCCTTTTAAAATACGCCAATTAATTAGTTTTAACGTGTATACACGTTTTATCAAGGTATAATTGACATTATATAAATGAAAAAACATCATTTCGCACCGTATTGTCATTGAATTGCGTTTCCGACATCCCTGCAAAACACGTTTGTGGCGCCCACAGGCGTACCAACCCACATCTATTACAAACCGAAAAAGCGCCGATGAAAAGAGCCGCTAACTTCACGACGGTTCTGGGACTGGGACTAGGGAGGTGTGATCCGCTAACATAAACGATCTGGATGCAACTTAAACTTAATTATTAATTTACTTTTAAATTATTTATTACAATGGATCTGCGCTCCTGTTTGGTCTCTATTGGATTTGTAGGATTATGTTTCTTTGGTATACCTATTCATATCGACGATACAAATTTGGCTGATCACAAGTTGCTCTTTCAGTCTTACGTGAAAAAATACGACAAACATTACAGTCAAAACTCTGTGGAATACGAATTGCGGTTTCAAAGATTTCAGGTAAGTTAATTACTGAGCATTTATTCAATTTTAACCTTGTACCTGACTATATTTAGGACTAGGCTTTTGTAATGTAGCCTATTTATTACTAAACCAGTTTCATTAACTCTCATTGCACTATTATAGTGCATATTATAATGCTTTAAGAAGGCCTAGGCCAATCCCTCAAAAATATGCCAAGCTACTCATTCCTTAAAGTGGGCATATAAGGACTGGAAATAGCCTAAGTGTTATGTAACACCAGGCTTCCAACTAAGTTGCATGATGTAACACTACTATCTGCTCTAGGGCGCTCCAAACCTGGCTACGCCACTGATAAAACATCAATTAATACGTAAACAGATCATAAGTTAACTCAATTCACTGTTCACAAAAAAAAGTATGTTGTAGAAATGTTATATTAGGCTAAACCTAATCAAAATCAATACCTATACAGTATTTATAATCAAACCCATAATTTATCGCAGGTTCTCTGCGAAACTGTACCCCTTTACTTCATACACTGGCAGCTTACTTATCTTAAGAAAATTTGCCATAGCCTATTTTACTTACTCACTTACTTACTGATGGGGCGCACAAATCTCAGTTGATTTTACAGGTAGACCTAAATTAGGCCCGAATGTTTCATAACTTAATCCCCTTGAAATTTTTGAAAATTACAATAAAACTACCTACCCTTAATGTAAAATGTTGACACGCGACAATAAAGAAAAGTCATTTAAGTAAGGCTGTTGATGACATCTTAAAAGCTAAAATAAACTTATTCTAAATTGTTTAGGAATGGGGGACCCCGCCTTACATCTTGTCAACGATTTTAGAAAACCTGGAAACGTTTGAGGCTGATGGTGGATTGTTATGCACACTGCTCGATTTTTAAAAATGAGTTGACGGTACTGTTACCTATTTAATGTGATTAACTTAGTACAGTACCTATTTATGTAGGCCTAATCATGCCAATATTTTATATTGCCGAAAGAGAAGTAACGGAACTCCCTTCCACCACATTCCCCTGCAAATTGAGCACTGGTTATGTGGTTTTTATAGACGTCTGTCAGAAAAATCAGTCTCAAGTTTATGATAAATGACTATTGTGCTTGTGCTAGAATATGTGAAAACACAAATAATTTAATTGTTATTTTGCATTTCATACAGTAAATTAGGCTTACTTATACTGTATAAAACCAACACAACTTCTAAATTGTTGGCTTATGGCCTTTTGCAGTTTTTTTTTGTTTTTTTTTTCTGAACCTTACAATTCTTTTATCAATTTGATTTGTACTGTGCAAAAGGTTTGACTTACGTTCATGGTAAATTACAATCGCTAGGCTACATATTAAATAAACTGACTGCACTCTGTGTTCAGAATTAATTGTTTATCTTAGCTATAGGCCTACAGTTAATTTTCAGTGGGTAAGTTAGTTATTATTACCTCCTCCTTGACCGAGACCAGCATACTTAGCCGTACCTGATGTAGGTTGCGTCAATTTACAAATTTACACTAAGAGTTTATACTCTGAAAAGCTCCATATAACTTATATAAATAAAAATAACTTTATCGTACTTTTGCGATAACTTGAGCTAGGGTTATAAAGTTATATGTTTAGTGTGTAGCATTATGAAAGTCGTGACGTAACATTGTAGCCAGAGTTCAACACCCCAGTATCTGGAATTTTTGGTATAGGGTCATTCTAAAAAATCGGGCACTTTTTGGTTCAATATCACTTAATGCTTTATTTACATTTTAATATATATTTTAAAATACCTAAGGCTTAGCTTTAAGTTTTACGTAATTGATTCTATTACTTTTTTTAAATGCAGATAATTTATTCCAATAAAAATACTGTCCACAGTATGTGAGATCTCACCTCCGTTACTTGTCCCCAGACTTAGATTCAATATTTCACCGCTTGATTGTGTGTTAATTTGTTTAAAATTGTAATATTGAAATAGGCTGGAAAGTAGTGAACCTCTTTAAGTACTAATAATTATCATGTTTCTGAATTTTTTTAAATTATTAAAGTGCCTAACAAATATCCAAAGTTAGTCCCCAGTTGCAGCCTCACCTCCGTGAAGAACTGTTATTAGTTTGATATACTGTTCATAGAGAGCTCTAGAAGCTGTCTTTTTCAATAGTGAAAGAGAACTGGTAGCCATCTTGCTCCTTGTGCAGTTTTGTAGTGTAATAGGCTTTTTTATGTGAGATTTTGTTGCTAATTGTTACAAGAAGAAGGATTGACATTTGGTTCCATCACCTCCGTTACTACATATTTAATGTAAGTATTAAAGTTTAAATTAATTTATTTGTAATAATCTGTTTGCAGACAAGTGCAAATAATCACTAAGCAACATTTCAAAACCTAACCTCAAATGAAAGCATTACCACATGGTGGTTTTCTTAATGTTTCTCACCTCCGTTACTCTCACCTCCGTGAACAGTAGATTTCACGGAGGTGAGAATATTTGGTAACGGAGTGTGATGATAATGATTGGCTAGAGTTAATTTGTATGAGCTCTTTTTTATCATTGTTATAACAGTATTGACAATTAGTGTAACTATTTTAGTTATTTTCAAAATAAAAATCCAAGAAAATTGTGTTAAAATTAGGCCTTACTACTAAAATTGACTTCCCCACAAAAATGTTAAAACACTCTAAATCAAGTAGGCCTACTCCTCAAAAATAATCATTTTAACCTACTTTTCAAATAGGCCTAATAGTTTTTATTTGAAATGAAGAGATTTTTAAAAAGTATACACTTTAGACAATACTATTAATTTTGTGTCCTTTCAGATGCATATCAATTTTTAACGTCCACTGAAAATGTAACGTTACGGTATGACACCTGTTGAGAAAAGACGTTTAAATCCTGATAAAGACAATGAAAAGAAAAAGCTACTAATGCGTCAACTAAGGCAAAAAATAAAAGACAATCCTGTGTTGTATGAAGAATCAAAACGGAAAGAAAGAGAAAGGTATCATGCCCGTAAGGAAGCTGGAAAAATAAAAACAATAGACAAAGTGACCCCCAGAGAACAAAGGAAGGTTAGAAAAGCTTGGCGTGAAAGAAGCAAGAGATGTTATGATTTAAAGAAAAAGACAAAAGAACTAGAAGACATATTGGAAGCCAACACTCCTCCAGGAAGTCCTGAAAATGTAAACATGGTTTCGGTTGTTGTAAATGAAGAAAGTACTTCTAAGGAAAAGGCTGGAAAAAAGAGAAGACGTAAACATAGAAGATACCTCAATGAAAAAATTAAAAAACTTGAGGAAAGGCTCAAAAAAGCTGAAAGAAATGCTGCAAAATATAAAAAGAGAGCTCAACGACTAGAAACCTCAAAAAAAGATACTCCTAAGAAAAATGTTGAGAAGCTAATCCAAAACCAACGTGTATCACCACAAGTAAAAAAACAATTACTTTTTGGTGAGGTGCTAATAAAACAACTTAAAGAAAACTTTAAAGACAAAAATAAGTATAGAAAAGTTATAACAGGAGTAGCAGGGAAAATAATAAAAAAATACAAGATGACTTCCACTCTAGGCAATATACTGTCTTCAAAGGCATTACGCTATGAAAACAAAGTTAAACAAAAAGAAACTTTGAAGAAAAAATGTGAATTAACAAGGAAACATGTTGTGGACTTTCTAGAAAAGGACGATAACAGTAGGTTATGTCCAGGTAAAAAGGACACAATCACAAGAAAGAAAGACAAACGACAAAAGAGGTTTTTGAATGATTCTCTCCAAAACTTGTTTAAGGACTTTAGTGCAGAACTGCCTCAGTTGAAATTAAGTTACGCAACATTTTGTAAGTTCAGACCATTTTGGATAGTGTTTCCAAAAGTAACTGAGAGAGACACATGTAAATGTGTACAACATGAAAACATGCATCTGCTTGTTGACAAACTTCATACTAAAAAAGTAATTGAACAGAAATCATCTTACGAGCTTTGTAAAAGTCTGTGCTGTGAAGGTGATCATTTAAAAGAAAAATGCCTCGAAAGACGATGCAGTTTATGTAAAAATAAGACCATGGTTATGCTCCCTACTTGTGAAGAAAATGACACCATTATTTATCACCAGTGGGTAACTAAAAAAGTTCCCATTACAGTAAAAGGAAATAATAAAGTTTGCCAAAAGTCAGTTAAGGAAGAATTTATATCTACAAATAAAAAAGCATTTGACATGCTTGCAAAATCAGTGTTTAAATTCATGATTCATGTCTCAAAGATCAAGCACCAAAGAGCTACCATACAAAACATAAAGAAAACCTTGAAGCAAGATGAGGTTTTGATTCATTCTGATTTTAGCGAAAATTATAATTGTAAATATGAAAGTGAAATACAGTCTGCACATTTTGGAGGTTCCAAAGCTCAACTTAGCCTTCACACTGTAATTGTGTATTACAAGTGCAGATTGTCTTCAGAAGTTGTATGTAAATCCTTCTGTACTGTTTCTGCAGATCTCAGACATCCCTCTGCAGCAGTTTGTGCTCATTTAGAGCCACTAATTAAAGAAGTGAGAAACTTGGTACCGTCCCTTAATACTGTGCACTTTTTAAGTGACAGCGTAGTAAACCAGTACCGAAATAAAGCAATGTTTTATTTCATAGGTAATGAGTTAACTAAACTATTTAAAGTCAAGGAGCTGCGCTGGCACTATTCTGAAAGTGGCCATGGCAAAGGGGCGCCCGATGGCATTGGGGGTTGCTTAAAAAGAAATGCCGACACCTTAGTGGCCCTAGGAAGAGACATCTCTTCATTTGAAAAGTTTATTTTCGAATTGAAAACTCAATGTCCAGGAGTCACAATAATACCTGTGACAAAGGAAGCCATTGACTTATTTTCAACTCCGGCAACCTTAGAGACTTTTAAAGGAACCCTACAAGTACATGAAATTGTTTGGACAGAAAAAGATAGCAATGTTCTTCAAGCCAGAAAATTAAGCTGCTTAAAATGTGATGCAGCAAAAACTTGCAACCATTATGGGATTAGCAAGATAAATCTTAACGACAAAAGTATCCTTTTGAGAAATATATTTTATAACTTAGAAACTAGAAACATAAACACATATTTTAAACACACACATGGGCCTTAACATATTTACACATAAAATACGTACACATGTATTAAACATATTTTGTTTATTGATTATAAACATAATTTAATTTATGTATTTAAAATTTCAAGTACATACTTGTTACACATAATTATGTAATTTTATGAAACTGACACAAAATGTGAAATTTAATCAATAAGTATGGTATTTGTTCCATTTCTTGCCATTTTCCTCTATGGTATTTGTTAAATGTGTAACTTTGCTACTTTTTTCTATAATCTGTTTCAAACCCTATTTTCCTTAACCAATTTTCAGCAGATAACAACAAAGAACTTCAGACAGTTGACAGCTTGGATGCACAACTTGAGGATTCAAGTGACGCCTGGGACTTACCAAAAAGTATCCTTCTAAACAAGTTTTTTTTCCAGTCATATTTATTGATTGTCTATCCTTGATTTTAGGTACCTACCAATTATCATTGTGCCAATTATCATTGTATCTTAAATCTACACATTAATGAATTTGCAATATTTTGAGTATATTCCTTGACTATTTACTAGGTGGTACTACTCAACGTAAACGAATCAAATACAAAGATGTTTACTCCGACAGTGAGGACGATGCTGATTTCAATGTCGGACGTAATGACTATGTACTAGTGAAGCTGAGTGGCAAGAAAAGTGTTAAGCATTATGTTGCTGTAGTAACAGCAAAGTTAAGTGATGAGTTAGAAGTGAAATTCATGAAAAACAATGGATTCAACATTTTTGTTTTCCCACCTGTTGAAGATTGTTCTTTCATTAATATTGAAGATGTTGTCGGTGTTCTGGGACAGCCTCGTGTGGACAACAGGGAAAGATATTCATTTGAAAATATTGGCAAATATAGTTCAATTAAAATATACTAGAAACAGAAAGTTAAAAATGAAAAAAAATGTTACACGTGTACTCGCAATACTTGTTTTTTAAGATTTGAGAAAATTACAAATTGTTGTTTATTGTTTTTAACACATAAGGTACAATGAATAATATCATTTGTAATCTTTAATTCATTGTCAAGAAAAAATAAAGTTTGTTAATCTTTTGCAGTTGTTATTAAATTGTCATATTAATTTCCATTAGCGTCACTTCTGTGGACAACCTTTTTCTAAGGTTTAACCTACATAATTGTTACAAAACTTGGGCAAATAACTTGTTTAGTTATATAATATTATAAACAAAATTTAAAGTAAGTTTTATCAATGTTTATTGTGCTTAAAACTCATAATATAGCGTTTCATCACTTCTGTGGTCATGACCATCACTTCCGTGGACAAGGTTTAGAAAAAAATTACTTTCTTGCGCTAAATAATTTTTTCTAAGCTCAGCTACTATGATATTTTGTTTTCTAGTGATATAACGAAGATATTCAGGTAAGTTTTGACAAAATTTCTTTCTTAAATAAAAATTAATCAAAGTGTACCATTTTTGTAGAACGACCCAAACAATAAAATCTCACCTCCGTTACTATAACCTCACCTCCGCGAAAAGGCTGATCAATTTTTTTTAATTTCGCTAAAAACTGTTTATGATCTTTGTTGACCATACCTATGACAGTTATGTTCTTTAACTTAACAGTACAAAAATATATAAAACATATATTTTTAAGAAAAAATTTTATTTTTTTTTATTTTGTTGAAATGTGCCCGATATTTGAGAATGACCCAATAACACCTTGATTGGTCTGTCTATAACATCGATGTATAAAAACTCTCTGGATTGCACGCTCAGGTTGAAGTTAACATATTTTCATTGAAATTAAGGCCTAAAATGTTATCAATGCAAAACAGAGTAGGCTACTATAATAATGTGTAATAATGTCTTAAGGTATTATAACAAATCACAGTACCAGTAGTATTATTTTCCCTAAACTACCATGTGTTATCTTTTTTCAGGAATCTTTAAAAATAATAGAGAAATTGAATAGTCAGCGGAGTGGAGAAAATAGTGCTTACTATGGTTTAACACACTTTTCTGACCTGTCACCGGATGAGTTTACTAAACACAAACTGCAGTCCACACTTCCCAAACGACTGTTGAAACACCAAAGCCACAAAGTTAGTGCAACCTATCATCAGTACCACCACCACAAACACAGTCATTCCCACAACATAGCAAAACGTGCTGTAGATCTACCAGACAAAGTTGATTGGTAAGTTTTGTCTCGTTCACTTTTTTAGGGATTCAGTCATGGCATGTACGAGCTTCAAACAAATCCTGTGTTCAATGCAGTAAATCAAGAGTTCTTATACAAATGTTCCTAAAAAGTTCAAACCATCAAAGCAATGTTACCTACTTGATTTTGGCTACTTGAAATATGATTGCTAATGGGTAGTTTTAAATTAAAAATATAAATTAGGTAAATAGTTTTTAACTAAATTAGTGTTTGATTCAAAGAATTTGTGACTAATCCCTCTAGAATTTGCTGTATATGACCGTGATGTGATTGTAGGAGAGGCAAAGGAGCTGTGACTGGAGTCAACAACCAGAAGACCTGTGGGGCCTGTTGGGCCTTCAGCTCAGTGCAGACCATAGAGTCCATGAACTTCCTTAAGACTGGAGTGTTGGAGAAACTCAGTGTACAAGAGGTCAGTTTATTGTTAAGATCATTACCATATTACTTAGAGCCCTCAGAAGTTTTGCTCATACCCATACTGTAGTTAGAGAGAAGCTACTTACTAAAGTAAGAATGAATGAATGAATTTCTGTTGTTACTAGCAGATTTATAAATATTGAAAGTACCTATTATTAAAGGTTAACCTTATTATAAAGAACATCAATATGAGATTTTTATACAAGAGAGATGAGCCTTTCCTCGAACTAAGTGACACAAATTCAAGACATAATGAATGTTACTCATATGTATCCCTAACCAGGTGATAGACTTTGCTCGTAATGGCAACCTGGGCTGTGATGGTGGAGACACCTGCAGTCTGCTTACATGGCTCTCTGACAACAAGATCAAGGTGGAGCCAGAGAAGTCCTACCCTCTAGTGCTGCAGCCTCAAGACATAATGGATGTTACTCATTTGTGTCCCTGACCAGTTGATAGACTGTGCTCGTAATGGCAACCTGAACTGTGATGGTGGAGACACCTGCAGTCTGCTTACATGGCTCTCTGACAACAAGATCAAGGTGGAGCCAGAGAAGTCCTACCCTCTAGTGTTGCAGACTCAAGACATAATGGATGTTACTCATATGTGTCCCTGACCAGGTGATAGACTTTGCTCGTAATGGCAACCTGGGCTGTGATGGTGGAGACACCTGCAGTCTGCTTACATGGCTCTCTGCCAACAAGATCAAGGTGGAGCCAGAGAAGTCCTACCCTTTAGTGCTGCAGACTCAAGACATAATGGATGTTACTCATATGTGTCCCTGACCAGGTGATAGACTGTGCTCGTAATGGCAACCTGGGCTGTGATGGTGGAGACACCTGCAGTCTGCTTACATGGCTCTCTGCCAACAAGATCAAGGTGGAGCCAGAGAAGTCCTACCCTCTAGTGCTGCAGACTCAAGACATAATGGATGTTACTCATATGTGTCCCTGACCAGGTGATAGACTGTGCTCGTAATGGCAACCTGGGCTGTGATGGTGGAGACACCTGCAGTCTGCTTACATGGCTCTCTGCCAACAAGATCAAGGTGGAGCCAGAGAAGTCCTACCCTCTAGTGCTGCAGACTCAAGACATAATGGATGTTACTCATATGTGTCCCTGACCAGGTGATAGACTGTGCTCGTAATGGCAACCTGGGCTGTGATGGTGGAGACACCTGCAGTCTGCTTACATGGCTCTCTGCCAACAAGATCAAGGTGGAGCCAGAGAAGTCCTACCCTCTAGTGTTGCAGACTCAAGACATAATGGATGTTACTCATATGTGTCCCTGACCAGGTGATAGACTGTGCTCGTAATGGCAACCTGGGCTGTGATGGTGGAGACACCTGCAGTCTGCTTACATGGCTCTCTGACAACAAGATCAAGGTGGAGCCAGAGAAGTCCTACCCTCTAGTGTTGCAGACTCAAGACATAATGGATGTTACTCATATGTGTCCCTGACCAGGTGATAGACTGTGCTCGTAATGGCAACCTGGGCTGTGATGGTGGAGACACCTGCAGTCTGCTTACATGGCTCTCTGACAACAAGATCAAGGTGGAGCCAGAGAAGTCCTACCCTCTAGTGTTGCAGACTCAAGACATAATGGATGTTACTCATATGTGTCCCTGACCAGGTGATAGACTGTGCTCGTAATGGCAACCTGGGCTGTGATGGTGGAGACACCTGCAGTCTGCTTACATGGCTCTCTGCCAACAAGATCAAGGTGGAGCCAGAGAAGTCCTACCCTTTAGTGCTGCAGACTCAAGACATAATGGATGTTACTCATATGTGTCCCTGACCAGGTGATAGACTGTGCTCGTAATGGCAACCTGGGCTGTGATGGTGGAGACACCTGCAGTCTGCTTACATGGCTCTCTGCCAACAAGATCAAGGTGGAGCCAGAGAAGTCCTACCCTCTAGTGCTGCAGACTCAAGACATAATGGATGTTACTCATATGTGTCCCTGACCAGGTGATAGACTGTGCTCGTAATGGCAACCTGGGCTGTGATGGTGGAGACACCTGCAGTCTGCTTACATGGCTCTCTGCCAACAAGATCAAGGTGGAGCCAGAGAAGTCCTACCCTCTAGTGTTGCAGACTCAAGACATAATGGATGTTACTCATATGTGTCCCTGACCAGGTGATAGACTGTGCTCGTAATGGCAACCTGGGCTGTGATGGTGGAGACACCTGCAGTCTGCTTACATGGCTATCTGCCAACAAGATCAAGGTGGAGCCAGAGAAGTCCTACCCTCTAGTGTTGCAGACTCAAGACATAATGGATGTTACTCATATGTGTCCCTGACCAGGTGATAGACTGTGCTCGTAATGGCAACCTGGGCTGTGATGGTGGAGACACCTGCAGTCTGCTTACATGGCTCTCTGACAACAAGATCAAGGTGGAGCCAGAGAAGTCCTACCCTCTAGTGCTGCAGACTCAAGTGTGCAGACTCAAGACTTTGTAAGTATTATGAGTTTTTTATGCACAGTGGAGTATTGATTATCTGATACACTACTTGGTTTTCTGACTATCCATGATGTGCCTAACTAACTCTTTTTGTGAACGACTAAGTCCAGTGAAATCTGGTTCTAATTTCATGTAAAATAAGCTGTACAGTTTATACCGTAGCAGATGCAAGGATAAAACCTCCCCCTAACTTAACTCTGCACACTCTACTACTTTTTTAGGTTCAAGCGAGCTGCACACTACACAGTGTTGTCAACTCCTCATATCTCTCTGCTACCCCCCATGTCTCAGTGTGAACAGAGATCTGTGACTGATTCTATCTGTATTATTTAATGTTATATTTTTAAGTTAATGTAAAAGGGTTTTTATTTTGTCAGGTTTTGTTATGTTATTTGAATTGATGGCTAGAAAACAGAAAATTGGTTTCAATAAAAGACAAATTTATTGAATAAGATTGACATTGCATAACATCTTAATTTAATGATTTTTACATCGTACCTGTAACAATAGCTTTTACTATTGTGATCAATTTATGCTTAAATCTTACTTACCCAATCTTACCATGGCCAGTTTAGGTCAGTTCAACTTCAGTTGGCACTCTTAACTGGCTCAGTTTGATAGCAGTGTTTGGTTTGTCATAAACCTTAACAACATATACCTTAACCTCTTGTGTCTGAAATATCAGCCTCCGGAGCTCAAAGGGTCAATAAAGTGGCTCCTTGTCTGGGCTATTTACTTTTGTTAAAATTGCCTACAGTCTAAACAATAAGTAGGCCTACAGTAATGTAAAATTGATAAAGCCAGTCGTGTTTGCATCCAACAACAGGACGTTTGAGTTGAAGTGGTTAGACAAGTTTCTAGTAACTCTAGTGAACAAAGTAGTCGACTAGCAATAGCCTACGATTTGTTTATTGTTTGGAAAATACATATTAATATGTAAGAATTATTAACCTTGTATACCTGAATTAGAATTTTATTACAATTTATCTGCAAGTTCCTCGTGTTCAAACTGATTTTGTACAGTATGTTATACTGATTGACAATTATTACTTACCATCTGTGTTTGGATTATGTGTTTGATTCAAAACTAATGTTCCAGCTCTTCAGGAGTGCAGATTGCAAAAAACTACACGTGCGATTAGTAAGTATTTTGTTATGATCTCCCTTTATAAAGTTCTTTAAAAATAAAACAATCTATGTATCAATAAATTTTACTATTTTCCATAGCAAACTATTCTTATTATGTATTCATATTATTGTCCAGCTAATAACTAGATTTTACCTTTTAAAATATCCAAACTAATAGTCTCTTCAATTTTATAAATTTTCCCTTAAAAGAAAGGAGGTATATTTTTAAACGATGATGTTATATAATTTCACGCAAGATGACACTATAAAAAACAGCTACTACTCACTAGAGGTTAGCTACAATGTATTTAACTCATGATTTGTCTGGCAACTAACTGGACTGCGGCTAAACCTTTGACTGTGGATGAACTAGGTATTCCATTCCTAAAGTCGTCACCATTTTTTGAGTTAAATGAAATAAGAAATGGACAGATTGTGCTGATGTTAGTTAAGTATTTCTACATTTAGGCCTTCCATGGTCCTGTGGCAGTAGCTTTAATGCTCTCAGCTGGCATTACTACCTCAGGGTGTCCAGTCGACCTGGAAACCGAGAATTGTACATAAATATTGATGACCGGGAAAAGAACCAGATTTTTTAAATGTTTACATAGTAGCCAACAAATCTGGCTAAATTCACCCATTTATACATTTTGCGTTGTTGAAAATCGTGACTGAGGCAAATTTTACATATAACAGACATCATCACAATCGCAAGACAGGAAATCATTTCAATTTTGCGCCAGTGCAAGATGATCACAGATGTGGCTGTGATCGCAAAAATAGTCACAGTAGTTTAAATAACTGCTGGAGACGATCGTGGATAATGGTGTTGTCAAGATTGCGGTGTATTATCACAGTTATCGCCGCGATAAAGAAAAATAGTTATAAGTGTTGATATAATCGCCGTGTGGATAACTAGATGTTGCCGCGGTCAGAAGACATTATTGCATGTGTTGCTGTGATACGGGAAATTAACACGTGTGTTGTTGAGATTACGAGAAATCATCACAGATTTTACCGCCACTATTTGAGACTAACAATGTTACTGTAATACTGCCATTTCCACAATCGCAAGTAATGATCTTGTCGGTGTTGCCGTGATCACGTAAAATTATCACAGGTGTTTTTCACAATTGCGGTATACTAGCACAGTTATTGCCTTAATTGTGAAAAAAACAAAAGAGTTGACATGATTGCCAGCAAGAAATGAATGTTGCCGTGACCACAAGACAGTATCAGGATTGTGAGTAATGATCACGAGATTGTTGCGATCGCAAGAAATCTTCACAAATGTTGCGACAACTTCAAGATATGATCATGATCAGCCTGTTGTGTACTAACACTCACGCTTGTCTACAGTCTGGTTGGAGACGAGGACACACTGTTGGCCCTGCTGGCCTTCCATGGCCCTGTGGCAGTAGCTGTCAATGCTCTCAGCTGGCAGTACTACCTGGGTGGTGTCATACAGTTCCATTGTGACGGCAGCCCTCAGAACCTCAACCACGCAGTGCAGATAGTTGGCTACGACCTGACGGCTGAAATTCCACACTACATTGTTCGCAATTCCTGGGGAACTGCCTTTGGCGACAAGGGATACCTGTACCTGGCATTTGGCAAGAACATGTGTGGTGAGTCTTGTGTTTTTTTTGTGTTATTTAACTATCTAATGGTGCTATGTGTACTATTTATTACGGATAGAGCCATTGCTACAAAGAAAAAGTTTTTAACACTATTACCTCTGAGAAAAATTACATCTCACAGTTACAGTAGACTCTTGATCATCCATAATAATGAGTGGCTGATTATTTGTGGATAAACAAAAGTGTGGTTAATATTAAATGTACAAGAAGTAACTAACATTGACTTTCAATAATGAATGTTTGCTTTTAATAATGAAATGTCATAATGAAATAATAATAATAATGAAATAACATAACTAACAAAATGTGTTTCAGGTCTTGCAACAGAAGTGACGTCATTGGATGTTTTATAAAAAGAGACAAGTCATTCCACGCAATCTGAAGATAGGTTTTAAGTTTTATGAAATTATTTTCACCCATTACAATTAATCAACCATTATGTATAACTTCCATTAACACGTTCGCGGCGGCACGTCAAATGGCGGGCGTATCCCCAGTACGGCGCAGCCCTCAGCGCCGAACAAACCCGATTGCCGCGTGTGATTGGCTTTCCAATTTCGGTCTGACGAATAGCAAATAACGTGCGAGGATGTCCTGCTTTACAACGAGAGTCGACGTCGTTCGCTGAACAACCACAGATAGCAGCACTGCTTGGAACGTAGCCGGTCCCATTGGAATTGTATTGCCAAATGGAGGGAAAAAGACGGGACAAAAAGTAGATTTTAAAATTGCCAAACGAGGATTTTACGGGGAAATTTACTACCAACCTACACCACAACAAAATACAGTATACTATTGAGCAGTACTGTGCGAGGTTTCAAGTTTCTAGCTCTAATCCTGGCTTAAAAATAAAATCATTTCGTACCGCATTGCAGCTTGGGAGCGATCGCACCCACCAGGATGGCATTAGGGTTCCGTATGGGAGCGATTGCTCCCATGCCGCCGCAAACGTGTTAATAGGGTAAGGTAGGATGGAAGTATACCCTGAGAATATTCTCACCCAATCTGCGATCAAAGATTAAAAACATTTTATGTAACATACAAAGTAACAATCCACTCACACACACACATACCGTGTTTATATTCATATTTTGCTTGTTTTAAAACACAAGACAAGTCAATACATTTTTACCCTTAAATAAAACCTGGCCTACAGTCCGTTGTAAATGAACATAATCTAGGATTACTTTCAATTGGGTCAGACCTATCAATAAACGTTATACATGTAATCATGATCAATTTTTAGATCAAATCGTGTTGGATCTTCTATATTTTTATTTTTGTTTGATTTAAGTACCATATTTAGTCAACTTATTTTTGTTACATTGTTATCTATATTAATATATAGCAATATTATAAAACAATATTAAATACTTAATAATATTGTTATTGTTACTCATCTTAACACATTCACTGAAAATGGATGATCTTCTGTAGTACACTTGTCAGCTAGTTAGAATACTACAGTAGACCTCCTCTTAACCGACCTTGTATTAACTGATAATCAGATTATCCGCCTTCAATCATAAAATATTACAGTTTGTTTTAACCGACCTTGCTTGGAGAGCAGTTCGGTTTAACCGCCGCATTCTAGGAATCTCGGCATTTCCGCTCCCACGCTGGGCGATGAGAACCGAACCATACGCTTATATCCACAGGATGTGACTAAGAATTGTATTTATTAAAAATACCCCCGCCGCAGCAAACCTGCAGACTAAGCGAATTTCCATTTGACTGATTGGATTTACACTGAAATGTCTACTTAAAAATATAACATTTATTCTCTATTTAAATAGAATTAGTTGAACTAGTACTTAGGTTTGCTGCATCAGGGAGGGTAAAACTGGTTTTTTTTTTTAAACGTTAATAGTTAGTAAGAAATAAAAACATTTTCCAAATTTGATCAAAATATGTTCATAAACAAGCAAACTACAACAATTTACTTATTCTCCATAAGAATAACATGGGAATTTTAAATTTACAATTTTTTGGAATTTTCTCCGTAACCATTAGGCGCATAATAACGCTTCAATATACTAAATTATTTGTTTTTTTAAGCTCTACAAAATGGTTTGGAAAGAAATTGCTAAATTTTATGTTTTTTGGGTCAAAAATGGGAAAAACCTATTTTTACCCCATAAAACCCCCCGTAAACCCCCGTTCCCATGGGCCGATCATGCTGGATCGCGAACTCGTTCGAATAAACGTAGGTTTACACGTTTGTACCAAATTTCATCAAAATCGGATCATTTTTGCTCGAGTTATCGTGCTAACGGACACATATATATATATATATAAATATATAAATATATAAATATATATATATATATATATATGAATTTGAACGGATGGTGTTTTTGGCCTCTAGGGACCTCAAAATGAAAAAAAAAATCTGTCCCGCGTCCAGGTCTTACCATGAGTACTACGGTAATAGCTTATTCCCTATATGGGAAATTCGCTAAAAATATAGAATGTTGTCAGTTTGTCATCTTAGTCCAGTCAATGAATGATCCAAAAGTAGGTGTAGAGTGCGTGAGCAGGTAACTAAGCGATTCCTTCAGAAACTTGTTCAGGGGGCTTAGGGTGTAAACATACCAAAAGTCCTGACTCCTAAAAAAAAAGGAAAAGTCCTCCCTGGTGGTGAGCCAGGGGGTGGAGGGGGGGAAAAAGGTACGCATTTTGGGGTTTTTGATTATATCTCGAAAACTATCAACTTTTTGTATACTATAGTAAATTATAAAATTGAAGAAGATTAAATTTTCTACAAGAAAAGTACATAATGTGTTTATTTTGTTTTAACAGATTACGAGTTATAACTTATTTAATTGATATCTTATTAAAATACTCCTTCCATAAGAAATACATGTAAATTAGTATGCGAAATGGGGCGAATCCTATCCGCCCAAAGGAAATATAAATGATATTCTGGAAATCTTGACCAAATTTCCAGTAATTTGACACTTTAATCATTAAAATTGATCCAAAATTAAGGCGAGGGCGAGGTAACAAAATGTCGAGTTTTGATGTTTTTTTATTGGAAATATAAAAAAAAACCTTAAATCATCCCATTTTTAAACGCTCACCCTCGCTTTAATTTTTGACAAAATTTCATGATTTAAGTGTCAAATTACTGGAAATTTGGTCAAGATTTCCAGAATATCAGTTATATTTCCTTTGGGCGGATAGGATTCGCCCCATTTCGCATACTAATTTACATGTATTTCTTATGGAAGGAGTATTTTAATAAGATATCAATTAAATAAGTTATAACTCGTAATCTGTTGAACCAAAATAAACACATTATATACTTTTCTTGTAGAAAATTTAATCTTCTTCAATTTTATAATTTACTATAGTATACAAAAAGTTGATAGTTTTCGAGATATAATCAAAAAACCCAAAATGCGTACCTTTTTCCCCCCTTTTTCCCCCCTCCACCCCCTGGCTCACCACCTAGGAGTCAGGACTTTTGGTATGTTAACACCCTAAGCCCCCTGAACAAGTTTCTGAAGGAATCGCTTAGTTACCTGCTCACGCACTCTACACCTCATTCCTTGACTGGACTATCTGTGCGGCCAATTTATATGATTTTGAGAACTGATTATCTTATCGCTAGAGTAAACAAACAACGTAACTTGTAGGGTGGGCAGGGAAGGGGGGTTAACAACTCCAAGGTCAAGATAGTTTTTGTGCCTTGAGCCTCCAGTGAGAGGCTTTAAATAAACATTCTGTCTTGTAACAAAATGGTTGCTTGTATCTTTAATTTCGACAAAGGGTTCTGTACTGTATTACGATGGATTTGGAAAGCATCAATTAATACTTTACAGTACTAAAGTTCTTAAAATAGGAATTTTTATTGACTCTTGTATAGTATTATAATCTATTCCACTGAAAATAGGCCTATTTGACTTAACCGTGTTTTGTGTTTATTTGTGACTTTACTATCAATACGAAAAACGGAGATAAGAGTAGTTTATTTGATAAATAATGCAAGTATGACTTCAAAATAATGATTATATAATTCCAAATGAATAGCACTTCATTATGTTATGATTTTAGGGATTGCCCGTTTTAACTGACCTTTTGAGTTATCCGACCTAGGTCCGGTCCCATTAGGGTCGGTTAAGAGGGGGTCTACTGTAGTATCATTTTAGAGTCGCGCATCTCATCTAAAATGATACTGCTTAAAATAGCAGTGAACTTGTTAATTGTTTGAATAAATAAAAAAAATAATGTTGACTTATGTTGTGAACAAGTTTATCTTATTTAGATTTTAGTTTTATAGAGATTATTCTTTGTGCCAAGTCAGGTAGTCTTGTTTTAGTTTATACATGGAAATATCTGTGTTTCAGAGATAAAATCTTCTTAGTAGTTAAGAGTTATAAACTTGAGCAATTCATATTGTAACTATGTGCCTTCATAGTGCTACTTGTTATTGTTAAACTGTACGATTGTAGATTTTGTTTAGTTTGGAATGTAAACTAAATCAAATGGGCTTTCTACTTAAAAGGTAAGCAATTTTTGCTGTGCAACTTTGATGTTACAAACTTCATTTTTCTTTTTCTTGAAATTTAATATTTTATAATAAGTTTGTTGCTTTGTAAGCAATATAACTACATTTTTTGCTTATAATACTTTGGAGTGAATTTATTTTCAGTTAAGTTTCAATTAATTAATTAATTATCAAGTAAATCAAGAGGTTTTACTGTAAAATGTGACAAAATATATTTGTGACAAATTTAACAATAAAATTGTGATATTTCTAGTATGCTCCATTGGGACTGTTAAAGATATACTCAATTTATATTGCATTTATATTTTTCTTTCTTTTTATTAATATTTTGATGTTGTTGCATTTATAGAAGGACTTCCAGACTGATTATTGATCATTTATTTTATACAATTTCTTACTTATGGTACTTTTAATCTTTTATTTACTAATATATTAAGTATATTAATTTTCTCCTAATCTGTTTTGGGTACGTATTAGAATTTCAGCAAAAAGCTCAAGAATAGAGAACAAATAAATAATACACTTAGTTTTATTTTAATAAATATACTTCAGGATTAATATTTGTATGGTTTTAGTAAAGTTTTATAAAAAGTGAACTGTGTTATTTTAAGGTAGAAGTTTTTACAGTTTTGAACCAGTAATTCAAATAAACATTGTAAATTCTTGTATTAAGTGTATTGAGAGTGGCTACTACTGAGTTATTGTTAATTGTAAAAACAAAACGTGGGCAATCAACATAAATTGAGTGATAATCCCATCTTCTGCAGTGTAATTCATTATCACTCTCATGAATCGTCATTGGTTATAATACAAGAGTTTGTCAAATCCAAAATAATGTCCATAAAAATATAACTTAACATTTTGATTTATTTGAACAATAAACAAAGCAGTGTATTATTATATGGATGAAGTTTGATTAGTTGTGTAAAATAGTGCCTTTGTGATAATGTGGCTGCAGATGCTGGCCACAACTTTTTTTTAATTATAGTAAATTTTATTATCCATGTGATTAAATAGGTTTCATTTTGTACATTTTGTAGTTTTCCAAGTTTATAAAATAAATATTACAACTGGTTACTTGTTTATGTGTTTTAATACACCTTAAACTCTTGGCAGGATATGAATTTATCTTGTCAAAACTTTTACCAGATTTTGCCAGCATCAAATGCTTTAAGATTGCAAGTTTCATTTGTGTAACTCCAGCATGCAAGATACAATGTGTTCTTAACCTTTACCTGATGGTTGATCTACCATAATAATGTGTTGGCAAGCTAAAAATACAAGATTTCTTTGTTTTTAAATGAGTTTTTTCTTTTGCTTTTGTTTGGTGGTTATCCCAGTGTACACCAATCGATGTGCTGGAAATTTCTGATGTGAAGGGCCTCTTGCCACCCCCTCAGGGGTAGTTGTCTGTCAACTACACGGGAGGCCTCTTGAAGGCTGGCAACCCCGAGGTACCCTAGCCAAGCCCCAGATCCCTCCTCTTCTTTGTTCTGGGTTCTATGACCAGCATACTTATCCTATTGCTGGCTCCTCTTTCTTCTTCGATTTCCTATTCAAGAACTCTACTTCCATTTTCCCTTTGTTTCCCATCTTTTTCAGCTTAACTACAGTGTTGTCAAGTGACCTGTGCTGAAGAGGTGAATGCCACTGGGCTCCTCAGCGGTGATATGAACTCCAGGATACCAGGAGGGCACAAGGAAAACCCCCATGGCCTTCCTGTTCCTTTGTACCACGTGCTCGTTTGTCCCACCTGACAAAGATATGATGCTTTCAAGATAGAAAAAATCTTCTACTCTTTCAATGACCTTGCCATTTAGCTCAAGTAGCTGATTATCTCTTTTATTCCTCTCATTTCCTTGGGTTTTCCTAGGTTAATTTTTAACCAACCTTCTTTCAATTTTCTTTTCTTTAGGTCTTCAAGTTTATCTTCCATATATCTTCTACTATGAGCCATAATGCACAGGTAATCGGCAAAATCAATGTCTTCTAATCCATCCGTGAGTCCCATCCAAGACCATCAGGAAGATATTTGGCGACAACAAACAGCCCTCCCTAACACCATTCTTAATTCTAAGACTCTGAGAGTTTTCCCTCGTGTACTACTTGACACTTGTAGTCCTCATTAATCAACTGGATGAGGTGGTTAAAGACCTAAATATCAGAGCTCTCCACATTGATTTTTTGCTAATGTAATGGGGTCAAAGGCTTTTTCAAAGTCAACAAAGGTCATGACATGACCTTTGCTGACATTGTAGTCTGGGTGTTTTGAGCTTTGTTCAATCACCATCCGTAAGGTGTTCATCCTATTATCTATGCGCATGAATAATCCCTTCAGAAACCTGCCTAGTGCATATTCTCTCCTTAGTTTGGTGTCCATTTCATCTTTAATTTTGTTGAGAATAATCCTAGCTAGAATTTTACTTGGCACTGAAAGCAGTAGTGTGCTCACTCTACTGTTACTACAAAGAAATGTATCTCTTTTTCTTTGGAATGTTACAAGTAAACTGTTCTTCAAGTATTCTGCTTTCCTTAAAGCAATTATTTTGCTTTCCTTTCAGGGCTGTTGTTATTTCTGGTCTTTTGGTAGTGCTGGGTTTTTCCTTTGGCCTTCCTGATTTTTTGTTCAAAATCTTGCCCAGCCTTTTTAATACCATGTTCACTCTCCTCTTCAACCTCTCTGTTTTGTAATTCTTCAAAGACCTCTTTCCATTCCGTTACCTGCTCATCTTCCATGACCATTAATTCTCCACTTTTGTTTTTTATTGGTTTTCTATAAGTAAACTTTTTGTTTGAAAGTGTTTTTGTTATTTTATTAAACATTTACTATAGTTTTGGTCAGCTGCATCTGTGCTAAGTCTTCGCAAATTTTTGTTTGTCTTTTGTGAAGCTTCTCTTCACCTCTCTATGTTTTGCATTGCAAGCATCTAAAACTATTATCTTTTCTTCATTGTTTCATCACTGTATCCACACCCTTTTCTTCTTTTCCGGTACCCTATTACTGTGTCAATATTGTCATGCTCTTTTATCTTGCAAC